AATGAATGAATGAATGAATGAATGAATGAATGAATGAATGAATGAATGAATGAATGAATGAATGAATGAATGAATGAATGAATGAATGAATGAATATTCACCACTTATTTTTCCCACTCAGCCAGGAAGGGCAAGAATCTAGCATGAAAGTGGTAGACTTCACTACTCCAAGGATCCTGCCCATATACTCAGGCTGCACAGACTGAAATGTATCTGTTAATACTGAACTAGATGAACCAAAGTTACATCCATTGATACTGCCTCAAATACAGTGGCCAAGACTTTTTCTCTTATTGGCAATAACTTGAACAAATATGGGTCATCATGTTTTGTTCATCTGTTCTCTCTTTCATGTGCTGGTACATAGATACCCCCAATGACATCCAAAGAAAGAGCAGATAAGCCAAACAACACTTCCTCCTCCTCCTCAGCCTTGCTGCATTCTCATGTATGCCCTGCTTGACTCCAAACCAACACTTCCTCCTCCTCCTCCTCCTCAGTCTTGATGCATTCTCATGTATGCCCTGCTTGACTCCTGGTTCAAATGTGCCAATGAAGTCAAAAGGTAAGGAGATGCCCTTATCCTAATATATGAAATACCACGGTTCTGTACAAGCAGAAGCTGAGGATAAATGCATTTTACCTAAGATCTCTCAACTGTATAGAAAGTCCAGTTGAGCTGGTGGATGAGTATGCAAAAGATACAATGTTCATGGGAAAAGGCAATGCAAGACGAACATAGGTTCCAAACAGAATCTGCATGCATGCAAGTAAGTTTTCCTTTCCCTATTATAGAAGCTGTTCTATAAAACAACTAGCCAGAAAGAACTAAATTCTAATGTCCCAGCTTAGCTGTCCAGGTTTGCAATAAACCTTTCAGGAGGTCTGTTCAGACAACTCTAATAGGATTTTTCTTTTCTTTTTACTTTCTTATTTTGGCATACTGCTCTAGCTTTCCTCAATATGACATTTGATTGGCTGTTAATCTGGAAGAGTCAGGAATGTATATAAAGGGCTCAAAGTTTTATCCTAAGTTTTATTTTAGGAGAGAATATGCTCAGTTGCTGTTCTACTATGCTGGTTTAAGGGAAATGCACTCGGTGCATGCTTCAGAACTATGGTATCCTCTATGTCAGGGGTTTCCAAAGTACGGCCTGCAGGCCGCATCCTTGCCTTTTTATCTGGCCCATATGTGCATGTGCGTGCATGGGTGGGTGGACAGAAGTGCATGTGTGTGTGTGTGTGTGTGTGACACATGCACACACATTCCTTCAGCCCTAGAAAATATGGAAAATATATCATGTGGCCCTCATGGTGACATGTTTGGAGACCCCTGCTCTATGCTAATAAGAGTATTAGAGAAGTGTTTTTTTTTGTTATTTTTGTGGGTGTTCTCCTGATTTCCTCAAACTTGTCTCATATTACTTTTTTACCTTTTTTTGATGGTTTTGGGAATTTGGTTTACTTACTTTAAGAGACTGCTAAACTTTCTTCACCCAAAGGTCTTAATACCAGCTCTGGAAACCTGTGGTACTAAATCTAACCTTACCCCTCCTCTACCTACTGGGAGTCTTTTGGTTTTACAAAGGTGTGGTGGCGGTATTGCCTTGTAAAGTAAGGCTTGCTAGTGTGAACACCCAACCTCGAGAACTTGTTTTTTTAGAGAGCGTAGCAGAACAGTGTCCTGATGAAGTGCCTTGTCAGGATCACACTCCAGCTAATCCTCCTGGGTTTTACACATGCTCAGGATAAAAAGATAGTGTGGTACAGTGGCTACAAAGGGGACCCCCTGGGAACCTTGACAAGACTCATAAGGATAACATAGGATTCTCCTGTAAGTGACACATGTAACTTATTTTGAGGAGAGGCATGGAAAAGTGAGAGCAAACTGGAATCTCTCAACCAGAATAATCACAGATCATGTTGGGTGGGGGATTCTGGAGCTTTAATCCAAGAAACTAACTCTGCCAATCTCTGCTTCCTAATGAGATATATCAATTTCTTATGCAGATTTACTGAGGTGCATTTGATTTAGTAGGTCCTGTATCTGAATTAGCAATTCAAAGAGCTATACTAAGACAGATGTATGTACAATTAGTTAAAATGGCAGTACAGTTTCCTTAATACAAATGAAAAATTAAGATTTATTGCAATCATAAGCTCAACGATAACCAGCTGAATTTTCTAATAATTTATACTCTCTCTCTCTCTCTCTCTCTCTCTCTCTCTCTCTCTCTGTGTGTGTGTGTGTGTGTGTGTGTGTGTGTGTGTGTGTGTGTGTGTGTGTGTGTGTGTGTGTGTGTGTGTGTGTGCACCAACTCTATTTTAGAATCATAAAATATCATAGAATAATGGAACTGGAAGGAGTGTATAAGGCTTTTGAGTCCAACCTTCTCCTCAGTGCAAGAATCCAAATTTCCTCAGAGTAACAGCTAGCTAAGTTCTTAAAAGCCTGTGGAAAATAATCTGGTATTTAATGCTTCTGGAAAGCCATAGATTCATAAAGTTACAGACTTATATTAGAGTTGGAAGGAACACCAAGAGTCATTGAGTCCAACACCTCCTACCAAAGCAGGAAATGCAGCAAGAGGTGTGATATCAGAGATTGGAAATATACCTTTTTGAACTTCAGCTCCCATAATCACTTAGTCAGCATTCAACAATATGGGTTATCTGCTTTCTCTGCACTGTTTGCAAGTATCATTTATTCATACATCTTTAATTTACATTGTTCTGACTCCATGTTAAAATATGGATCACTCCATTGCCTAATCATGGAGAAAGGCCTGTTTGTTCTCCCAAAACTACTGGTCCAAACAGCAGCTGCACATTTTGTGTAGCATCTCTGGTGGAATAAGAAGCTGAGTCAAATGATGGTCCTAACAGGCAAGAGGTCACATATCTAAAATCCAGGTAAAACCTGGCTAACATTCTATATAGACAAACAGGACAATATCTACACAAAACTCTTAATGGACATAAATCAGACATCAGAAAACGCAGTACACAGAAAGCTGTCTCAAATCTCTTCAGTCACAAGATATGAACATTGCTATTCTGGAGAAGAAAAATCAGAGAACAAGAATCCAGAGAGAAACAGATGAGACATGTGCTGGACACCCATCTCAATGAATTAATTATTAGCCAGGGTTTCTTAAACCATTACAAAATATGATAATTACATTGTTATCCACTGTTATCTTCCTTCCCAACTAACCCGAACCACTTTTTCAGAATAAGGCTCAAAGAGAAATTCTGTCATTCTCTAGTTGATTGATTGATTGATTGATTGATTGATTGATTGATTGATTGATTTTATTTTATTTGATTTGATTTGATTTGATTTGATTTTTATACCATCCAACTGGCTACTAAGGCTACTCTGGGTGGTTTACAAATTCCATCATGTTAAATAACAGCAAAGAATAGCTGATTAACAACTTAAAACAAAATGCAACAGTAACAAAAATAAAATAATTAAAACAATAAAAGGCATGACTGCTGTCTCAAGAGTTTGGGAAGGCCTGTCTAAACAGCCATGTTTTTATTAATTTTTTGAAAGTTCCCAGTGAAGCAGCCAAGCAAATTTTGGGTGGGAGACCATTCTAGAGTTGCAGAGTGACCACCAAGAAGGCCCAATTTCTAGTTGTCATTTTCCAGGCCTCTCTCAGAGTAAAAACTCTCAACCGCCCATCCTGAGAGGATCTTACAGGATGGGCAGATCTAGTTGAAAGGAGGCATTCTGCCAGATATCGAAGTC